ATTGTTTAAATTTTTCATTTACGAGATACGCATTTACGAGATTCTCGCATAACCAATTGTGCATATGATCGATACAATTTTCAAAATTAAATAAATGTAATAATGTTTCTGGTTTCATGTACAAAGAATTTTCGCATAATGCAAGTTTTACAATTTTCGATTGATACATTTCAATCGTTAAATCTCCAATTCTTAATGGGGGAGCAGTCGATTGTAGAAATTGTTCAACGTCTGCTTGCTTCCGCAAATTCCAAAGGGTTGAAAAGGGTAACACTATTTGATTGCCTCGATTATCGCCGAGAATCAGCTCCACGTACGATACAGTTCCAACGCTTATTCCAATGTCCAAATACTTGTACGACGTCGGGGTTAGAGCGTACCTTCTTCCAAGTATGCGAGCTGCACGACGAGGCTGAATACTATAAAATATAAATAATTATACAACAATATTAAAAATCAATAAGTAAAAAATTTTTTAAACGATTTAAACTTACGTGTCGCATTTCTGCTTCTTACACAGCTGAGTTTCACCGTTTCGAATCGGAACGTAGAAATTCATATTTCTTCAGCGGTGAACCTTTCACACGCGCGATTGATGCAATACTGCAATCGTATTAGAATCAATATCAATGCAAATAGTATCCCAAATTGCGATGTAGAGGGGATTATTGCTGACGCAACATTTTAATTTCCTCCAAAATTTTGTCGCGCCGATGTACGGCTGCGATGACATCATCATCTTCGGAACAAAGATTTAGCTGAAATTGCTAAAATCGAGCATCGATGTACGGCTGCTCCTGATACAATCACGTCAAAATTTTCAAATGTACGTGACAAAACGGGAAATTTTCAAGGTTAAGATCTGCATCGAAACTAAGATTTAGCTGAATTTGCAAAAATCGAGCGCCGATGTACGGCTGCGCCTGATGCAATCACGTTAAAATTTTCAAATGTACGTGACAAATAGTGAAAAAATAACCGCCAAAGTTAAAATGTGTATCATCCCTAGACAAAGATTTAGCTGAATTTGCTAAAATCGAGCGCCGATGTACGGCTGCGCCTGATGCAATCACGTTAAAATTTTCAAATGTACGTGACAAATAGTGAAAAAATAACCGCCAAAGTTAAAATGTGTATCATCCCTAGACAAAGATTTAGCTGAATTTGCTAAAATCGAGCGCCGATGTACAGTTGCCCCTGATGCAATCACGTTAGATTTTTCAAATGTACGTGACAAAACGTGAAATTATCAAGGCCAAATTGCACACGGTACTACGGGGAATTTTTTGTAAGATGAAATCGTTCTAGAATGTTCGATGATAAAACAATGCATGAGACGGTATATAAATCATGATAGAGAGACGCACCCCACCAGTAGCTAAAGTGCATCAGACCTATCATTAGAAACGCTAAATTTTGCAAGTGTGCATTAGCAATATGGAGGAGCAAATTTTGCGAGAACAATCCGCTTTGCTTGATTAGTTGGAAAACTACATTGTGTGGGAGCAACGATGCGACGAGTACATCGAGTCGCTGGAAGAGCAAAGTCGAATCAAACGGCCGCGATTATCAATCGGATATCGACAATCACTGATTGCTCAGATCGCGCGCCTCAAAGGTTTGAAAAATTCGGTACGTGGACGTTTCGTACACGCGGGTGCCGGATGGTCAAAATGCACTTGTGTGGCGCGAAATTGATACGGCGTTCGAGAGTCGCGTATCGATTGGTGCGGTGATAAACTATAATCACATCGAACCGCGCCAATTTCTCGATGACGCTAAAGACATTGTGTTGGAACATGTGCAGGACGCTCTAAAAAAACACAATTGTGTAAAAGTGAACACTATATTCAACGGCGAATTTGTGTCGGGTGATAAACACGCGAATAAAAGTGTGAATACGAGAAACTATGAACTCTTTCGCACATCTGATTTATGCGAGTGGTATGAACAGCGCGTTATCGAGTCCACCTTAGCGTCTCTGGAAGAGTTTCAGGAACGCAATAGCGGGTGGGCATTGTCGCGAATACTGAACTCTACTATCCCTCGGGAATCGTAATTTCCGCGTCGTCTTTGCCAAAATAAAATTTATTATTCGAGGAATTCACGGTCGGTATCGTGTGATAAGTTTCAAAATCCGTTAGACCGAGTTCGTATTCATCATCGCTCAAATCTACAGTGGGAAAGAAGTTTGCCGCGAGAATGCTATTCTTCCCAGTCAACGTGAATGTCATAGACATGTTCGACGAAACTGTTTAACAAATACTGAGTTAAATAGCGCGATATCCGTCTTTAAATTCGCACGCATCGACCGTTCGAAGAAACTGCAAGCACAATTGTCCGCAGATGCTCTGAGCGTAAGTTTGAACAGGTGTGTGATTGTACTGTATCTTCGTTACGTTTCGTCCGAAATATCGCACCAATTCGATCGGTGATCGAAGATTGCCGAAACTGTCGAAATATATAACGCGATTCCCCCTCTTTGCTACCCAATGAGTACCCGGTCCTTCGACGCTATCTAAATTTACGATGCCGTTCTCGTTTTGACAAATACCACCGATCGGTAAAGAGTTGCGCATGAAAACGCGTCTAAAATATGGAAGGCGCGTACGTTTCGCCAGTTGTAGCAATTGTACGTTGGTAGTTGCGCCCTGCGGTATTTTTAACGTTTCTTTGACGTTTTTTTTGTCGACTTCTCGTCCGTGTTTGTAAGGAGCGAGATATAATCCGCGACCTTCCATGGCGCGATTGTGACGTAGCATCTCTTGCGTCTGACTTTTCCGTCGTTCACCGCCTTCGCTACACCCGCCGCTCCGCCGATCAGGGATCCGAACGCACTCAGCATTGGTAAAATCGGCAATATGCCGCCGCTTTTCGCTACCGGAAGTATTCGTTTATTCGCTGTTTTCTTCTTCGTCTTCGTCTTCGTCCTCTTCAGGCCCATACCGAGATTCGTCTTGGCTTTTATCGCCGCCCAGACAGCTGTGGTGGCGGTTCTCTTACCGAGAGTCGAATCTCTCGCACCGATGCGATTTCGCGCTTTCTCGGCGAGTATCCTATCCGCCGCGTGTCTCTCGGTAAGATCGTTGCTCCGAGAGTACGCTATATCGTGTTCGCGACACGCCGCGTCCAATAAATTTATACCTCGATCGCCTCTGACTAATCGCTTCTGCAACCGCGTGCCTGGACCGCAAAACTGATAGCCGGGAATATGGAATTCGATCGGAAGCGCGTTTATCGCACGATTTAAGAGACCGCTGCCTCTTACGATTCTCGCTGACATACGTCGCAATCTTTTATCAACGGAGGCAGACCGTCGATGTACGTTCGCTGCCACGGCTGGTTGTAATGTCGCATGCACGAACGATATTGTCGAACGCGGAGATGCGCAGACATGGTACGATGCTATCGATTACTATACGCACGATCGTTTGCAGTCCCTCGAATTGTGGTAAAACCAACGTTCTAATAACTCTACTGGAAAGTCCACACGGTGTACGCTTTGAGAACGTGTATGTGTACTCGAAATCGCTGCAACACCCGAAATATCGATATCTGGAGAATTTATTGACGCCGATTGACGAAATCGGCTACTTTACGTTCTTGAATAACAGTGACGTCATTCCACCGAGCGAGGCACGTCCTCGATTTTTGTCTTCGATGACGTGGCGTACGACAAGCAAGATACGATAAGAGAGTACTTCTCAATGGGTCGTCACTCGAACGTCGACTGCTTCTATTTTTGTCAGACGTACGCGAGAATACCAAAACATCTTATACGCAACAACGCAAACCTGCTGATCTTGTTTAAACAGGACGGTACACATTTGAAACACGTGTACAACGATCACGTGAATACCGATATGTCGTACGAGGATTTCAGTGAATTATGCCGTACTTGTTGGCAGCAAAAGTACGGATTCCTAGTGATTGATAAGGACAGCGCACTTACACGAGCGATACAGAAAAGGATTTAACGTGTTCGCGATACCGCGAAACGATTTAGGGATAGGCGATTCCGTTCAAAAATATCGATGCATAAGAATCAATTTTTAAAAAGCATCGATACCTGAAAATCGATTATTTTCAAAAAGAATCGAAGAATCGACGAAAAAAGAAATCAATAACAGAAACTAGAGTTCTATATATAAATAGAGAAGCGACAACAGTGATCGATACGGCCGGTATTCGTAGTCCGATCTTATATTTAAGATCGTCTTAAGATCTCATTCAACCAATGAAATGGCCGTATAGCGCAATTTCATTGGCTGGGTGAGATCTTAAGACGATCTTAAATATAAGATCGGACTATGGCCGGTATTCATAGTCAGCTCTTATATTTAAGATCGTCTTAAGTACGGACTTATATTCGCTCTCTTCGTCATACACAATCTGTGTGTGACGAAGAGAACGAATATAAGTCCATACTTAAGACGATCTTAAATATAAGAACCGACTATGAATACGGGCCTATGAATACCGGCCTATGAATACCGGCCATAGATAGAGTTCTAGATATAAATAGAGAAGCAACAACGGAAGGATTTAGTTTGATTGGCTGAATCTGAATCACGTGACCAAGACGCCATGTTAGTTTCCCGCAGATTCAGACAGCCAATCAAACCAAACCTTTTCGTTGTCGCTCTCTATGGCCCGTATTCAGAACGCGCTTTTAAAAATGTTAGCGCACTTTTTTGTCATTTTATCCTTTCACGTATAATAAACAATTAAGATAGAATGACAAAAAAACGCGTTAACATTTTTAAAAGCGTGTTCTAAATATGGACCTTTATCTATAACTCTACAGAAACAATTGAATGTAAAATAAAAATGTTTATTGAAAATAAATATATATTAAAGTTGAAGAATTTGATTTTATTGAATCATATGAGAAATATATATATATATATATATATATATATATATAAATATACATTGTGTAACTTTTGAAAACTGTGTAGTGTATGTATACATGTATGTGTAAAAAAAAATCTTATGTTTTATGTACGCTTCAAATTATTTTTATTTACTTTAGGGCACCTGATTTCCATTTCTATTGAGAATCTGAAAAATAAATAAAAGATTACAAGTTAAATTATGATTATGAAACCATAATCCACCATAAACCAAGTGCAGCAATATATCATTCTCACAGTTCACGGCAAGCTGATGATACCCATGCCATAATAAATCATAAAATTATACAACAGTTAGATCATGCAAGTACCAAATGTATACATGTAACATTTTGTTAATGTGAAAAGTGTAGATTTATTAATGTGTTAATAGAATGTTAGCAAAAATAATAATAATTACATAAATATTATTAAAAACCAATAGTAAATAAAATTTGAAATCATTTAAACAAACAGAATAGTGAGTCAAAGCTGACTAAAACATACACCAATCTTCTTGACAAATTGAACTTAAAAATACTAACATATTCAGGTGCCTGCTAGTTAATCTGTTCCGATTATCACGCTTAATCAATCCTGCTTTTGAGAATAAGCGTTCGCAGGGAACGGATGTTCCAATTACTGACAAATGTCTTAAAGCTAGTTTGCTAAGTGAAGGAAAAGTTGTTTCCACACTCTTCCAGTACATAAAAATGTCGTCCTTCCTCGGGATCCTTTCTAGTTGTAGGTACTGCTCAAGTTCTAGATTCTTTGATGCATTAGAAATATATTTTTGTTCCAGTTCTAACGTGTCATGGAAATCCCATATACTCTCCAATTTTTCTGTTTGAGATTCAAGTAGATGTTCAGGAGTTTTTGACTTAAAATCTTTAAGCTTAGCGTTGATTCGGCTTATAGCAGGATAAACAGCTAATACATCTTTGAAATGGACTTTTTTAAATCGAGGATCTAATATAGTTGCCATTGATAATAGCGGAACATGCTCAAAGTTTTTAAATCTTTGTGATATAGCAGCCTGAATCTTTATTTTACAATTTTTCCCAATTTCTGTTTGAAGATTGACGTCATCTATTTTTTTTCTCATACAGTGAATGATGGGAATAATTATGCTGCAGGTAGGATACGAGTCTCCACTTATCTCTTTTATAACATCTCTTATAGGCTTCATTAATGGGAATATATCATTAAGAATTTTTATCTGTTCTCTATTTAAGACGTCAATAGGATTTGCACATTCAGACATGGCTGCATAAATATATGGTTCCAATTCCATATACCTTTCAATCGCGTCAACTTTTGTTGTCCATCGAGTGGGAACGTCTTGTATAAGGCTAAGTGCAGTTCCTTCACTCTTTCTTGCTTTTAATTGCAACTCTCTAAGCTTATCTGATGCTGGAATACTTCTTCTGATAAGTGTCACTATGGATTTTATTTGCTCAATGATACTAGTTAATTCTGGAAACTTAGTTAGTGCGTCGGGAAGAAGGTGAGCTACAACATGAGCAATACAAACAATATGTTTATCTTTTCCAACTATTTCAGTGCAAGCTTTTTTAATAGCTGCCTCGCCATCCGATATTATAGCTGTAAGTTTTTCCGTTGTGATATTAAATTCTTCGAATAATTGTTGCAACGATTGTTTAAGGTACTCAGCTGTATGATGCTCATGAAGTGGAAAGCATCCAAGACATCCACTTTTCATTTTAGAAGACTTTTGTAGGTAATGAATTGTTACTCCTAAATAGCTTTTATTAGAAGAGTCAGTCCAGTTGTCACAGGTTAAACAATAATGATCTGCATCTTGAAGTTCTTTAACAAAAGCTTGTTTCATGACATCGTGTCGAGATTCAAGTCTTTTAGTCATTGTTTTGGTCGAAGGAGGCTTGTAAAGAGGTGCCAAAATCTTAAGTAGTGTTAAAAACCCTTCATGTTCTACAGTAGAAATAGGAAGTAAATCTTTGCATATCATAAATAAAATTGCATTCGTAATTTTATCTGATATAGAACCTCCTTCTTTGAAAGAATCTACACGTTTGAATGCTTCTTTTATTCCATAATTATCAGATGAATCACCGCATTGTTTCTTTGGTGGGTTTAATTGAGTTGACTCGGTATTGTTGACTTCTTGAAATGATCTTTTTACTGCTGCTTTCTTGATTTTGCTATTACATGAATTTGTACTTTTTGGAGAAGCATGTTCGTAGTGTTTCCACATGCTTTATATTCTTTTTTGCAATATAGACATTTAAATAAATCTTTATTTTTAATTTTTTCAACATGATTCCATATTGGACTTGGTTGAATTTTAGATTTTAACTTCTGCGAACTTAAACTGCAACTAGCTTGAGAATCATCTATTAAATAAGCAATAATAACTTCATTAAAAATTATCAATAGTTTAGAAGTGCTCCAAAGACATTATATATATAAATCTGAAGAATTTTTATTATTTATTTATTATACATAATAATTACTTGAGATAAGTGCAGTATACATACCAACGCTAGAAATATCCATTTTTTCATTATCACTGGAATCAATATTTTGTTGTGCAGGCTTACTAGCATTTTCAATACGTTTTGACTGTATTTCTATAAGATCTTCAGCACATTCTTCCTCTGTATCAGTATCAGGAATGTTGACTTGAATATAATCTACATTATCCAATGATCGATACATCTTTACAATTACCTCACTCTCATCGGTATAATGACTTTGGCAATACTGCAAAGCATATTCATCATTTCCTATAATCAAACAATTTTAATTAAAATAAGTTAATTTACAGTAACAGAAATATAATTTATAATATTCATTTATACATACTTTTAAATTTCAAACATTCTGAAATTTTTAAATCCAAAATATTAATTGGCTCATGACTGTTTATTTGGAAATATATTGTAAATCTTCTCGCATCCTCTTGTGCTACATTTTTTCAAATAAATATTTTTATAATGTAACTATTTATTATTGTACGTTGTAAATTTCAACTATTAAATTTATGTTTATTTTAAGGAAGTACATTAAAAAATAAGCAAATAAATTGATTTTGTGTTTAACACTTTGAATTACGAACTTACGATCAGTCTCTTCCATGTATTGGTCATCCATAATTACACAAAGTTTGTAATTAAAAATGACAGTATATCAGGCAGTATATATTGCAGTTTATTAAAGAAGCAAGTTCATCGAGTAGCATGAATCCATCAAAAAGCAGAATTATTCACTATGTAGAAAGAGACTGTTATTAAATCAGCCACATGCATCGGCCTCAATATCTATAATATAACAAAGCATAAAAACATAATTAATTAATTTAAAAAATTAAATATTTTTGTGTATTACGGAAAGTGAATGACATTTTATTTTTGCATGCATATATTATTAAAATAATATCAAATTCTAGAATAAGTAGTAAGAAATAAAAATAAAATACTCATTTAAAAAAAAATATTAAAGCTTGGTGTGAAACTTACGTTACAGTATTGTCTCTTCCAAAAAAGGCAATGCTTTCTTTATATAAACTTGTATTATATATATTTTTTCTAAAATCTGGTGTTCGAAGGTCCGTTACTATCTATAACACATACAAATACAATAAGTAATTAGCAAAGAGCAATTGCAATTTATAATGTATGGAATACTTAATAACAGAATAATTAAAATTTAACATAATAATGTAACATTGAATAAATAAGGCAAAAAAATATAAATATGTAAAAGTGATAAATATAGGACTATCATATGTGATAGCAAAGCTGCATAAATATTTATAAAAATACACATTTATTGTTAGCATGTAATGCACTATAAAGTATTTGTGAAACGCAGTTAACTAAATCTGCAATATTAAAATTCAAACATTTGAAAGATTATAAAAAAATTCGAATATATGTAGTATGGCCAAAAGAAAAAACAAATTAAAAATAATTAAAAAAATTATAATAGGATAAAAAAAACACCGACTTACATTACGATATATTGTTGCTTCTTCTCAAAAAACCGTGCTTGTGTGCTATAAGTCAATGCTTTTGTCCGAGGCAATGGCCAAAGCCGAGAACAATCGATGGTCCACAATCCGTGCGAGAAAAGAAGCACTAGGGAGGGCAGATACGCGAGAACGCGAATACTAATCCGACACAAAAAGGTACCTTTTTGAAAAAGGTAGCTTAGAAATGCTTATTGCTAATTTACGCACTAATAGCGGGAGACCACTACACGTGAACACGTCTAACGTCACTATACGTGAACACGTCTAACCTAACGTCTATACATTCCAAGACAGCCGATGTAGACCGGGCATAAGGCCGGCGTTCCATTGGGCGGAAATCCACAACGGAACAAAACGCGCGGAACCAGTGCGACCAATCACAGCTATTCCGTTTTCTTTCCTGCGCTTTTTCTGTTTCCCTAATTGGTCGCGCTGGCTCCGCGCGTTTCGTTCCGCCGTGGATTTCCACTCAATGGGACGCCGGCCTGAGAACCTTTATGCCTCGTCTACAATAGAAGTCGTAAGTTGTCGTAAGAAATTAACCAATCACAGTTAAATTTAGAGAAGAATATTCAATTGTGATTGGTTAATTTCTTACGACAACGACTTGCGACTTGATTGTAGATTAGACCTTAGGCCTCGAATACAATGTAAAGTGATAGAGTCCNATGTCGATATTCCGTAAGCAACTCGAACGTGATCTTTGTATGCTTTAACATGGCGTCCCACGTGTATCCGGGGAGAGTATAATAATACGCGGGGTCGAGTCCGTAACTTTCGATACATTTATCGCGAAAATTTTCGAAAATATCTACTAATAACACGTCGATTTTGAGATACATGTCGCTATATTCACCCAGCGTCCGAATGGAGAACCGCGTCCAGACGTTCTCGGCGTGGCGCGTAATCGCTCTCGGATACAGTTTCACCGGTCAAAGAACTGTAAAACGATTCGCGCGGTGGTAAACACGTATCGTGCAACCTGTCAATGGAATCGATGTATTCGTATGGAAATACACCTTTTCGCGTTAACAAATTGAAATTTTCGGCAGATAAATTTTGAAATTCCGATTTTAAAATTTTGAGTTTATCTTTGTCCAAAAATGATGCCAATTTATCGAGACTCGATGTGAGAAATTTGTATGAATCGATGAAACGTAATTTTATTTGATTTTTTGATTCTTCTTTAAAATCAACACTTTTAGTAAATGAAATATATTTTTCCTTAGTTATCGGCAATAACTCGATTTTCCCTTCGAACGCTGTGGCTATTTCCTCGATAATAAAATGAGAATCGTAACCGGATAAATTGTGAAAAACTATCGGAATGCAAAAAGAATCTTTATAATTTAGATTACAATTTGAATGTGCAGGACCTCTGTACCGCCCGGTCAGATGGCAATGATCGCGAACGCGTGTATCGTCTTGCGCGAACGGTTTTTTGCATATGTGACATTGAGTAACGTGATAAAATTCTTTCTGTTCTTCGAACGTTAAATCTACCATGGGGACATTTGTTTTTAAAATATTTTTTACGCGTAATGCCAAATTTTTAAGATCTTTAACGAACCATGCTATACAATCGGCGCTACGATGCGAATGATACGCCGATAAAGATTTGTCGAACGAGCAATGTACATAGTAAGCTATGCTAAATACTTGATGATGATGTTGATATAATTTCTCTTCTTCCTTCTTGGCCAGGACGCATTCCAAGTCGGCGTACACAATGAATGGAAGCCGCTCCTTCCGATTAGGGTTGCTGAACTCGAGCCACTTGTCCTTGTCGCTCGGCAATCGGACAGCGCAGTCGTTTAGCTTTCCGCAGTCGACCGTATGCAACTGCAACTTGTCGTCCGAACCAAAATAATGTAGACATCTGTAAAGGAAAAAAAATTTAATTAAGATTTTAACAATTCATATTATAATTATACAAATAATAATTATTCAAATAATATAAAATAAACTAACCGATCGCAGATATATTTCTTGTGATCTTTTTTGCTGAGTTGCGAGCTCACTAGTCGGGATAGATTCTTGATCCACGCGAAATGTCCCACGCTGTTGTTACCATCTTCCACGTATAGCAGATTCATGCTTGTCCCGTTTCTGCTGTGAAAGATGTATCGGGGCAATGTTGTTCTCTTTCTCGATGCTGTACACGTTGATTGAAATGTTATTTGCATGTTCAAATTTCTTAATCTGATTCATAGTCGCTGGAAACTCATGTCCCGGAGATTCAACACTGTCGCGTAATGCGGGTACGATGATTCCCGTTCCGCGTGACTTTCGGCGGATACAGAGCGGCGACCACTGCCCACGCGAAACATATGCATTGTCCTTTGATTGCACGTTAATCACCGCTCTCTTCATCATAATATCCCGCGGTAACTTGATGTGACATCCCGCGTGCATGGGATTGAACTTGTTAATATTTACAGTCAAGTTCAGTATTCGCGACAAAGCCCACCCGCTATCGCGTTCCTGAAATTCTTCCAGAGACGCTAGGGTGGACTCGATAACGCGCTGTTGTACCACTCGCGTAAATTGGACGTGCGAAAGAGTTCATGGTTTCTTGTATTTACACTTTTATTCGCATGTTTATCTCCGGCCACAAATTCACCATTGAATATTGTGTTCACTTTTATACTGCTGTGTTTTTTCTAAAGCGTCCTGCACATGTTCTATCACAATGTCTTCGGCATCCTTGAGAAATTGGCGCGGTTCGATGTGATTATAATTTATCACCGCACCAGTCGATACGCGACTCTCGAACGCGGTATCGATCTCTCGCCAAACGAGTCTCTCCGCGTTATTGTCATCGCTGTATTCACCACCACTGGGAATAAATCTTCTCTGCAATCGAGTTTTTTGCACCTTCGAGCTGCGCGATTTTGGCTGCCAGAGGATTGTCTCTTTCCGATCGAGAGTCGCGGACGCTTAACACGACTGCGTTCTTCGAGCTCTTTGATCAATTCTCGCAACGCTGCAGCCATGCAAAATACTCGCCCAAGGTGGTAATTTGGCGAGATCGCTCTATCAGATTGCCTTCAGTCTGCTCGATGTTTTCCATTTTATGTATTATCACACAATATATATATATCACAGAAGACTAACAGAACACTATCTTTTTTCTGACAAAAACACTTTCCGAGAGAACACTATTTTTGCTACCGACGTGTCGATGCGTTTTCAAATAATGTACTATGATCTGCTGCGCTTCGATCCTTCTTATATTCGACCAACAAGCTTTCAGAGACTGTTGGGGGTTGACACGAAAGAAAATTTTCTTGCAAATGTACCTAGGATCGTAGAAAAAATGCGCTATTATATTACAACAGATTGCTTGAAAAGGTTGGACTGAAATATCTCAAAAATGTAAGTTTATGAAATAAAGTCATAAAAATATGTATAAGAGTAAAAAAAAAAAAAGAGTATAAAAGGTTTTCTATAGTATCCCATTGCAAGAAAAAATTTTCTTTGTGTCCCTCGATAATCTCTGAAAGCTTGTCCACTTAATCTTTATTGTTTATACGTCGAACGGGAAAAAAACCTGGAATTATCTATTATGGGTGTACCTCGAGAGTACAAAGCAGCCGAACATCGGCGCTGATATGTAAACGAGGGAGACACCTCCGATTAGTCAATCAAAGCCAATTGTGTCCAATTGTATTGTGTCTAATCGAGTAATCCCCAGACAAAGCAGCCGATCATTAGCGCTATTAAAATTTTTCCTTAAAAAATAAAATTTTTCCTTAAAAAATAAAATAAAATACAATAAAATAAAAGAACAATAAAAAGGATTAGGTCCGCAAAAATCTTTTTCAAAATATATAATAAAATACAATATATATAAAAATATATATAAAAATATAAAAATATATATAAATATATATAAAATATATATAAAAATATATAATAAAATACAATAAAAATAAATAAAAGAACAATAAAAAAGATTAGGTCCCCAAAATCTTTTTCAAAATATAATAAAATACAATAAAATAAAATAAAAGAACAATAAAAAAGATTAGGTCCCAAAATCTTTTTCAAAATATAATAAAATATAAAATATAATAAAATATAATAAAATACAATAAAATAAAATAAAAGAACAATAAAAAGGATTAGACCCAAAAAAGGATTAGACCCAAAAAAGGATTAGGCCTAAAATCCTTTTCAAAAGAATACCACTCTTTTGTTTATGCTTGTCATTAACGTGACCCCCCCCCCAACCCCCGCGTGACGTCATACCCCCGCTCCGCTGAGATCCC